TTCAGGAAGCATAGCAGCATCATAAGCAACAATGTTACCATAAAATATCTTCTCCAAATCCTTCATCCATTTAGTCAACAATAAATTAACCTGCGATTTAAAAATAGACAAAGGATATGATAGATAAGTTTAAATTTTCTATTTTTTGTCATGAACAATAGAATCTGAGATGCCAGTATCATTCCACAAGGAAGACAAATAAACTGAGTCACCATTATGGAGCTGCAAATTAAATTGTGTATTCTTTTCCTCCATTACGCTTTGGAGGTGAGAATAAATTGTCCAAAAAGAAAATGAATGAAGCAGAAAAGGGGCAGTAATTCGATGAGCTTAAACAATGCAAGAGGGGCAGTAATTCTCAAAATAAGTTGTAAACCAATGCAAAAACGTACATCATGAACAATAGCTTAAACAAATCGCTTGTTGATAGTCAATTTTAAAACAAGGATGGGGTGGGAGCTGAGATGTAATTCGATGAGCTTGAAAGTCAAACCCCATAAAACCTCTGGAAAAAGAGATCTTCTGTCGCAACATATGAAAATGAAAAATGAAAATAGTAAATGATGCAAAGAGCCTATTCAAGCTGATTGATGCTCTTCCACCAAGGTAAGCGACAAGTCTGAAAACCATCCAAGTTGTTTTTTTTTTTTATATAAGGTAACGTTAAAAGAGGGAAGTTTAGGATAACCATCCCAATTGTTGATGTAAGAAATATAATAACATAAACTTTTGTATGGAAAGATCATAGATATCACTAGCTTAGACTTACTATAAACCTGCATGTAACCACGATATTTTGTTTGCTCTAGAGCTCTATTTTTCCTTCCGACTTTTTCCATTTCCTTCCATTTCTTCTTAAGATTTCTTTCTTCTTTTTTTTTTTGGAGGGCCCGACATCATTAGTCATGCTCTTTTTTTTTTTGAGACAGGTAACAGTATATTAATCCTCAGCACAAAGGCTGTGTTGGAGCCATATTTACAGATTGCACAAACAAAAGTGTGGGCTTGTTCTTCTTACCATTAGTCATGCTTTTATATACTTTACCAACGGTTGCAACAAAAAATTCTCTTAAAACCAAACATAAGAGTAGTTAAAACTTTACAGCCACTCTAGCTTGGTTGTCAATTTAACAACAAAGAGAAGATCAAAAGATATTCAACAACAGAGGCGGATCCAGGATTTAAACTCTATGTGTTCAATTTTTAAGGTTTTAGCATTGAACCCATTAGTATGGGTTCATCTAGTATATTTTTGCAGTTTTAACGATTTTTCACATATAAATTTTTACTCCGCGTTGATAGTTATGGGTTCAATTGAACCTGTTATTAGCACACTACATCCGCCCATGTTCAACAAGATGGACGTTCGATTACAAATAGCATTGCCACTTGAATTTACTTTCCCAACTGAACGCCAAGAAGAAGAATTATTTGCGATATTGAATTGATTTTTCAATACAAGAGTTTAATAACTTACCCCAGCTTTAGAAACTCTCAACTCCAGATCATGATTATATATCTCATACAGATATTGCCCCAACTCGACGCCTTCCTTTCCCTCCTGCTTCAAGCGTCGCAAGCATAGCCACATATGGATAACAAGTAAAGCAAATGTGGTCTTAAATGTTTTCTCCAAGCTAAAGACTGCATGCAACACATACAAGCAGATCAAATAACTAAGGCAAACACATATTAGCATAGCTATTTTGTGAAGAGACAGTGCTCAATTAAAAGAAAAAAGGTAATTATGCTTAAAGATTGAATGAACATTCAACTCACTTGGGCTCTTGAATTAACATGAGCAGTAATGCTTGTCAAAGATTTGCAACAATTGGGTTAGAGATATAGCTGCCAGTGCCTAAATAATTATAATAATGAGCTAGATAATGTGAAAGGATTGCAGATGAGGAACGCGTATAAAGGTTTTTGATGTGCAACAATTTCAAAACTGTAGCGCGATCTAGAAATTCACACCTCAGCACCAGAGTACGGAAGAGAAATGACTAAAGAATTTGTAGGGGAATAAGAGCCATAGACTCTAGTCAAGAAGCATCTACAGATAGTTCTTAACTACAACTTTGTAAAATGCATCTTTGTTACATATATCGGCTGCTTGAATGCCCAATCGGAGTCATAAGCAATCCAATGAACAGACTCAAGAAGAACACCATTCTTTTTCTCTTCTATAAACAAACAAATAAAAGAAAAGTTTCACATAACAATCCATAAGCACATAGGAAAATGGCCAAAGATAGCGTGTTCAATGAGCTGAAGTGCAAAGAGGCTCACCATCATAGATAGCAGGTCTATCAATTTGGTGAATAACACGGCGATAAATAACATGAGCTCCTCGAATGGACGTGCTTTGCTTACTATAGAACAACATCAATTTGAGGAGAAAACGCTGGATGCCCTCATATTGTGGCTCATCAATTCTTAACGGTGAATCAGGGGCCAATGCCAATGATTGAGGCCTAGACCAGAACATCTTGTTTAAATTTACCTGCTCAAATAACAGGAGTTCAACTATCAGTCCTTCGCAAATCAGACACCAGTCATGCAACAAATCTATGTTCTACTAAGCATAGAGATCAACAACTCAATTAAGAGAAATGTATCTTTTTTCATGGCACAATATCATTATAGAAAAATTACAGAAAAATAAACATGCAATATCAAAACCCTTAAAATCTCCGAAAGGTAAAACTGCTAGCAGGGTGGACAGTAGTGTCAATGTCAGCTGCTAGTGTGCTAGCATCCCTTCAGCTCAAAAAGTTGCACCATTGAAAATTTATTAAACTTCGTACGAACTATTGTTGCATAGTCGAAAGACTCTACATAAGGAGTATATATTTATAGGTATGCAGTCGACACCAAGGGTGTATCCTAGAGGTCAATGAAGTTGGAATGAAAACCATGGGAGACCAAAGTTCTAAATTGCAGTAGAGACTAAAAAGCTAAGTGACTTCTTTCTCACTAGCCTAAATCGAGTTGCACAGAGTTACCCAACACCTATACTAGTAGAGAAAGCAGGTACCCGATAGAATAGTTGAGGTGCGTAAACTCACTCAAACACCACCGTCAAGAAGAAAAATATTCAACACACATTGTCACAATGATGTAGTCAGTGCAGTCGTATTACACACCCACTTATTTGAAATCTTATGTTCGCCTTTGAATGTACATCAAGTACTCAAAATAGCATCTAAACCTAGGATAAATAAGCAAATTGATTAGCAGATATCATGCAGCAAATGAACCAGACCACTTTTTTTGTTGAAGAATGACCTAAATACTCGCTCACCCAACCGCTTAAACTAAAAATGGCCGGCGGATGTATCATATGTATAACTTATGTATAATATGTGTATAACTATGTATAATCTATGTATACGTTGTGTAAAGATCCTTTTTTTTTTCAGGCCATTGAATCAAAGTCCTGGGGCATTACCTTACTAACATCTAATTACCACAAAAGAAAAAAAATTTGAAAATTTTCAAACCTGGGGTTTGCTATGATAGTCTTTCTCAGTGGAATGGTCTACAGACGGCGCAACCGCGGAATAATCTCGATATGAAAAAGAACACAATCGTCTTCCCATTTTTATGTTCCTTTGAGAATAAGCCCTAGAAAACTGTGAAATGGCCTTGCTCCATCTCGGCAACATTCTACCTCTGTATAGCGAAAGCGAATGAACTATGAAAGGAGAAAACTATTAAAGAACGGCCTTAAAAATGGATACTACCAAGAATTGGGCGAGTTTGAGCTGTTGCAATTTTTCGATGATCAGAGTTTTAACTTTAGAAAATGGAGAAAAAGCCAACATAGTCCTCTATCTTTATATTTAGGTACATAATGATCCTATTTCTTTGTTCTTTTGACAAACTAGTGCATTTTCAATCTTATTGGGTGTTTGGGGAAATTTATAAGTTGGTTAAACTAGATTATAAGCATCTTTTAGTTTATCTACCTGTTTGGTAAACACCCAAAGTACGTATAAGATAAAATTAACTATAAGTTATAAGTGGTCAACTTATTGCTTTTCGACTTATAAGCATTTTTTGTTTGGCCATGACTTTTACTAATTTATCCTTAATAATATTTTTTAATTCATAAAATATTTTTTTCAAAATAAATTTTCTAACTTTCTCTTCGTTATTTATTGTTTATCATTTTCTTTATAAAAAATCTTTTTAATTTATATTTGTTTGTAAAGCCTTAAGGGTATTTTAGTCAATTTAGCAAAAAATAACTTATTTTAGTGAGTACTTTTCTACCAAACATCAACGGCTTATTATCAGTTTCAGCACGTTTATCCAAACTCGTAAATGCTTAAAAATCAGTTTCAGCATTTAAAAATACTTTTCAATCACTTCAAGCTTGAAAAATTATTTGTGAATTAAAAAATATTATTAAGGATAAAAGAACAACTTATCAATACTTTTCTACCAAATACATCAACTGTTTATTATAAGTTTCAGCATATTTATCAAAACAGGTAAACACTCAAAAAAAAATTCAATCACTTCAAACTTGTCAACTAATCCAAACGGGCTCTTAATCCTAACTAACGGAGACAAAACGTGTGTGCCCTTGAAGTAAAACATAATTGGTAGCATATTAGCCTGTTTGGCCAAGCTTTTTTGTTGGCCAAAAGTATTTTTTTGTCAAAATTATTATTTTTCCTCAAAGTCAAGGTGTTCGGCCAAGTTTTTTAAAGGAAAAAAATGTTTTTGAGTTGAAGTAGAAGCTTTTTTTAAAAAGCAAGAAAAAGTAGTTTCTAATTAGTACTTTTAAAAGTATTTTTGAGAAAAATATATTTAAAAGTATTTTTTAAAAGTTTGGTCAAACATTAATTAGTCAAAAGCTTTTGAAATTAATTAGTCAAAAGCAAATTAATTAGTCAAAAGCAAATTTATTTTTGAAAAGAAAGAAAAAGCAATTGTCAAAATAAAAGCAGATTTTACAAGCTAGGCCAAACAATTTTGCATCTCCAAAATCTTGGTAGGCTAATGAGTGGCTACAAACAACGAAATCCAATTCCAATTCCAAATCCAGTTCCAATTCTGAGGTTGAACAGAGGACCATACTTTAGTCTTGACTCGAGTTCTATATCGGAAACCCATAAATACGTTGCCAATCACAGAAAAAGCAAAGGGTCCATTTATTGTTTTCCGCTTAATTTGTGATTGCGATGCTATAGAAATAAATAAAGTGAATTAAGGAGAGCACATCATAGGGATGGGTCTTGTCGTAACTTAGCAATGATAGGTGTGAATTTTCAGCCGTCCATTTATATATTTGCAAAATTTGCTCCGTCTCAAAATCCAGCAGCAAACTACAACTTCTTCCATTTTCCATTGCAAAAGTTACCCGTTTCTAGAATCGGCTATGGGTTGGGATTGGACTTCTCACCTAGCCCAGGCGGCGGCGGTTACTATAATAAGCAGAAGAGGAGAAAATTCAAAGCTGCATTGGTTAAGGCAAGTCGAAAAGAGTCTCCCTATGAAGTTTTAGGAGTGTCTTCATCGGCGACGGCAGACCAAATCAAAAGGGCCTATCGCAAACTTGCTCTTAAGTATCATCCTGATGTTAACAAAGAGGTAGCGTAGCCCTTTGAATTTATTAGTTTTAACTTGATAATTTGGATGACCTAATAAATATGTCTATGCGTTAAGTGCTGAAGTTTATAAAATGATTTTAGTTAACTTCTCAATCAGTGTTGGCAAAGGCTCATTTGAGCGCGCTTAAGCCCTGAAGCTCAAAAAAGCTCAGGTATGCGCTTCGCCTCACTTAGACTGCGCTTCAGTGTAGGCAAGGCACTAAGGTGTGTCCTGATTGACTATAAGTCCTATCTTGAATGAAGCGGTACAAAACAATAAATATGATTGGCAAAAAGATATATTAGTTGTTGAGGAAATCATTATGAATGAAATTGTCATTTTTTCTTGCGTTACATATATATTTTTATTTTTTTCTTCATTGTGCCTTTTTAAACTAAATCCCACACTTTAATTGTGCTTTGTGCTTGAAGCCCCAATTGACTTGGACCGCTTTTTAATGTTTTTGCCTTTGACAACACTGTTTGCAATAACACATTTGGCGCTGTTGCTTATAGCTGTAGTGGTTCATCAGTTGCAAACCTCCCGTACTTGCTTTGTATTTTACTTGTTCACCTAGGATTAGCACTAGAAATAGCAAAATATACACACAAGCAGAGGCAGATCCATGATTTGAAGTTTATGGGTTCCTCCCGCGATCTCAAGTTAATAGTGTAATAAGAACTGGGTTCACAATCAAATATTTATAGATATTTAGTGGATTTTTTATTATATATACATGGTATTGGCAAAAGCTGCTGGGTTCGCGTGATCCCCGCGCACATAAATCTAGCAACAGAAATTCCAAATATGGTACAACACTATTTATTTTACTTTAGGAAATCAAGGCATTATTTGTCAAATTACCTTATCCTTTTTCACTTTTTGCATGGTGCTTGTTGACGGCAGGAAAAGAAGAAAAACATATAGCCTGAAGTTAAAACGGGAACTAGGAACTAAAACTTTCTCTTCCTTCCCGGTGATTAAATCTGGTTTTATTGAAGGACATCTCCCTTTTTGTTAATGCCTTTCTGTACAGCCCAATGCTCAAGAAAAGTTTATGAGGATTAAGCATGCATACAACACACTATTGAACTCCAAAACCAGGAAGAGATATGATTCGGGAAGTGACACAACAAGTTCTTCATATTATAGTGGAGCAGGAAAAAATAGAAGTACTGCAGATGAAGAAGACTTCTATGGCTTTGGTAAAACACCCTTGCTAATTAGTGATATTTGCTGCTCACTTGTACTTAAGTTCTGTTAGTATGCATGTTTGTTTATGTCCAGATAAAAAATCTTAGCTTTGAAATAATAAAGCAACAGCTGCTTTACCTTGCCATCCTGTGGTCAGGAGCTGTGTTCAAAACCTCTTATCATTTCTTTCTTCAAAAAGAACTAAAAACTGTAATAAGAATTTAAACATGAAAATAGTAAAAGCATCTGTCATCCACTAATTAATCAACTTGAGTGTGTAGTCTGAAATGCCTCCAGTGTCTTGATTGACTTGTAACATTTACGAAAGAAAGTATGAAGGTCGACTTCTGAAGGATGCATTAGCTGATCATAAAACTTAGGCACCGGCTCACAAAGTAGAATGAATATCTTACTTCCTTCGCCACGAACTCTTCGCGCTTCCCCCAGTTTTTATAGATAGGCAGTAAGTGGGGGGNAACTGATTACGTGATTGTTCAATAGAGTTGGATGTTTGAACCCTTGTCGCTGAAAATTGTTTGTGATGCCGATACCTCAAAATAGTTACTTTACACCAACATTCTGAATAAAGCAATACTTCCACCATACAGAATCCAAGCATAAGGTCTTTAATTTCAGTGTTCAGAGGGTTCACCTATGATATCCATGCTAACGAACTATATGCTTTTATTAAACAAAATGAAACCTGAAAAAAACAAAAACCAGAGCACAAGAAAAACAAAACAGAACTCTACGTTTATCTGTTCACTAATCAAAAAAAAAAAAAATTATTCGTTAATCTGTTCAGTAAGGCAGTTCTTATCTCTTTTTGGTTTTACATTCTTATGTTTAACCCCTTCATGCTGCAGGTAGCTTTTTCACGGATGTTCAAATAACAATAGGTAGATTTGCACATGGCAGTTAAAGATACACTATCGATACTTCAACTGCGCTAGGACATTTTTCACATATAGCCCGTCTTGCAGTTAAAGAGTCATGTGGGTCTCAAGTCTAATTTCTTTCTGCAGCGGACTTCTTTAGGGATGTCCAAGAAGAATTTCGGAATTGGGAGGCAACTGTCGCTTCGGAGGGAAAACCAAAGAGTTTGTGGGAAGAATTGGCGGTAAGAACTTGATAAATTCAATTGGTATGAAAGAAAAGCACATTTAAGATCATACAATATGTGGTTAACGCCTTAACGGAGGGCATTTTTAACCAAATCCAATAGATCGGCGGAAGTTTTGGTCTTTTCCCTTTTTGTTTTAAATGGTCCGTTAGTTTTTAGGACATTTTGGACCAAAAGAAGACGGCTGTGGCATTTTTGGCTCAGTAGGTGGACTGAAGGCATTTTTGTACCAAATCCAATAGTTTAGGGGCAGTTTTGGCCCTTTTCCGTTCTTTTTTTTCTCCTTTTGATCATTTGCCTCCTCTTACCACCCTCTAGGTATCATCCTTTATTTTCCTGTGAGGTGCCTCTGGCTTAGATACCCCTGGGTACAGAGGTTGAGCAGGTTTTCTTGGATGTGAAAATCGTTTAACTATTAGAGGTGGACAAAATTGTGGTACTTCTACTCTGCATACGATAAAGAAAGAATTGGAGTTTCTCTCACTATAAAGTTTGATTGTTGACAGGAAATCGGAGAAGAATTTGTTGAGTTCTTAGAGAAGGAGCTTAATATAACCGATGCAGAGGTAGAAGAAGAAAGCAATGATGAAAGACCCCAGAAGGGAAATGCACAATCTGGAACAAACAGAACTGGTAATGGAAAAGAAAATAGGACAGAGAAAGATAGCAGTATTGAAGAAAATATTGATGAGATTGAAGCAACCCTTGCCCAATTGAAAAAGGAATTAGGTCTCTAATGGGATTGAATTGATACTCCCTAAAAAGAAGAGCAACAATGTATTGAAGAACATCTTCTTGATGTTTTTGGTTGTGTCTGGCGGCAAACTCAAATGGTTCACCCACTTTGAACATGTACCAACTGAAAATCACAAAGGGTGTCCTTTATTCATTTCCTTGTACAGCTGCTATGATTCACAAAGTTTTTGCAGTAGTCATGGTGAACTGGCTGCTACATCTTTTGTTGTTTTAGATATAGCTTGTATCAAAAGGTTTCATGTGTATTACTATTATATAGAAATGGGAGTTGGGGTGTACGGATAGGGGTACTATAGGAATTACTGTTGTTTGTCATGTGTATTTGGTATTTTGCTCTTCAATTTCAGTCATTTCATGAATTCATGTTCCTTTTTTAATGGTGAAACGTGCTAAGCCAACTGGGTTCCCCTTCTGCTTCTACCTTCTTTGTTCATTTGCATTCTCCATCGGTGTTACTGGGTTTGGAGTACCGTTTTCTTTCTGCCATATTTCTTTCATTTGTTTCTTTTTCTCTTCTGTTTCTTCTCTATTAACTGATTTTTCTGCGGTTGGTGTTGTTTCTTTCTCGCCTCTGTTTCCTTCTGTTATCTTCAATTAGCTTTCTCTTCTGTTTTTTGCCTTTACTTGGAAGAATTTGCTAGAAGCTGTACATGCATGCAATAATATCTGTCTCATCTGCTCATGCACATGGCTTTTCTTCCTTAGAACTATCTTTTGGGCAATACAGAGATGTATACTTGAGAGAAACTGATCTTTAGGAACTTTGTCTAGCATTTGGGAAAACATCTACTGGCGCCTCCTGTTAAAGAGTTGATTGGATTAATTTCGGCTGGCTTACAAATCTAAAGGTATGATGGCCGCTGCATTCTTTTTGGGTATTTTTGTGTCCTTAGGTAAAACTTTATGTGCCATAGGTGTTTGTTAAGATAAATACATGTTATGTTGAAATGTGAAGTGAGAGCTTTCAAATAAAAGTCATGGTTCTACTCCAGGATATGAATTACTTCTTCTTAACTCCCACCAATCTCTTATTCTCTTCTTCTCTTCAAATTGTGATCATTTTACTGTAATTACTTCTTCAGTTCCGAAAAAGTATTTTATTAGATTTTTTGGGACAAAAGGAGATGGCAGGGAGTGGTCATTGCTACAGGGGAATACTACATTACCTTGAAGTTCTCTTTGCGAGACCAGAATTTCACATTGCATCTAACTGGGGTTTATGGGCCATATACAAGACATGAGAAAAAAGACTTGTTGCGGGAACTTGCAGTAATCAGAGGCATTTGTCCTGGACCCTGGGTTACATGTGGAGACTTTAATACAACCAGGTTTGCATCTGAAAGAACCAGCAGCAGATGTGGGCTGATTTTACAAACTGTATTGAAGAATTCAAACTCATTGATCCTCCTCTGACTGGTGGTAATTTCACCTGGATTAAAAGCTACAATCACGTAGCTACTTCAAGACTGGACAGATCCTTATTGTCAGATGAGTGGGATGATGAATATAAGGCAATCAAACAGATTGTTATTCCAAGAGTATCCTCTGATCATGTTCCTTTGCTTTTACAGTGTGGAGACTGGAAGAAATCAAATTCTTATTTCAAGTTTGAAAGCTTGTGGCTTGAAGTTGATGGATTTACTGACATGTTGAAAGAATGGTGGAATTCCATCCACATGGTGAGGATGAACGTGTCCCGAAAACAGACATCTACATGGGACTCGAAGACATTGCCAAGTGTGAAAAAATAAAATGGAGACGAAGGTCTAGGGTTCTTTGGATTAAACAGGGGGACAAAAAACCAAGCTTTTTCAAAATGATGGCCAATGCACGCAAGAGATACAACAGCTTTAACAAAATAGAGATGAATGGGGTGACTTCAGAAAAGCTTGAGGACATTAAAAGGGAAATCTTATGCTTCTACCAGAACCTTTACTCTGAAACTGAAGATTGGAGACCCAGGTACAATATTGAGGACAGCTACAAAATTACTGAAGAGGAGAATCTTTGGCTTCAAAGACCATTTGAAGAAATGGATGCCATTCATGTGATAAAATAGTGTGCAAGTGACAAGGCACCTGGTCCAAATGATTACTCAATGTGTTTATATAAAAAATGCTTGTCTTTCATCAAAGAGGACATCATGAAGGCTATGGAGGTGTTCTTTGAGCTTTAATGCCACATACATATACTTAACAAGAATGATGTTGTGGAGTTGAGGGACTTCAGACCCATAAGTTTAATTGGTATCTTCTAGAACATCAGTTCTAAGTCGTTGACAGAGAGATTGAAAAAAGTAATTCACAGATGGCCTTTATTAGAGGCAGACAGATCATGGATGTTGCTCTTATTGCTAATGAATGCTTGGTCACAATGAAGAAAAGCAGCTGCTCGGGAATTATTTGCAAGCTTGACATAGAGAAAGCATTAGACCATGTCAATTGGGGCTTCCTTATCAATATGCTTAAGGAAATGGGAGACTCTCAGTCATCATCAATGGCTCGCCAGAAGGCTTTTTTCCATCACAAAGAGGCCTCAGACGATAGATCTGATATGTGATCGCACTTTGTGTCCTTAATGTTATATCATCTGTTCTGAGTGCAAGTAAACTGCATATAAATGAGAACAAGGTAAATAATCATCCCGACAGGAACTGCATTTTCTAATACATTCCCGTTTGATTTTGTTCCAGCAAATTTTCATTGCTCATTAGATTGTAGACTGAGGTTACTTTGTTCTTAATGATAAACCAAAGTTTTCATCTGAAATCTTGCTCTTTGTTTGGTCATATATAAATTGAAATATCATATATGCTGCTTCATATAACTGTTTAGTAATCATTTGATTTGTTTGCTTAGGTGGAACTTATTTCTTGAACTTAGTTGTGGTTCATTAGTTTAAGTTGTTACATAATATTCCGTGTATCTAATGAATCCATAGCTAAAAGGCTACATTTGCCTATGGTCTGAACCAGAGCCATAAAAATTGGCGGAGCCACATTGAAGCAAGGGGTGTCAAGCGATACCCCTTCGCCGGAAAATTACATTATTTTGCTAGATAAATTTTTTAATTTTATGTATATTTACTATACGTTGACTCCTCTTGACTTTTCGATGTATTTAATTATTTATATTTTGACATCCCTTGATAAAAATTGTGGATCCGCCACTTATAAAAAGTGATCAGTTTTTCCCCATGGTGAGTCGGCAGCCCTTAAAACTCAAATAAAATTATTTCCTTAGTATTTAAAAGTCAAAACGTGCAGTTTCTTCTGACTGAAATATGCAAAGGCAAATAATCAATACCTTTGGTATTCTCTTTTTGATAAGGAAATGTGTTGGAATGACGTATTTTGATTGACTAAGCAATATCACATGTTTTATGCTTGGCGAATGGATTACACTACCTTAAAAAACAGAGATCTTGTAGAGAACTTGATATTATATTGCATTCAATTATTAGTATCAACATATCAGCCTTGTTAGACGAAAAAATATTATCAGCCTTGTTATTTAGTGCTACTATTTTTTTTTTAATGGCGTTAGATTTCAGGTTGTTATCTCAAAATTTTATTAGCAATTTCAAATGCATCTTTATTATTTAAGAATATTTTGATTAATTAGGAAAAAATCCATGCCGATTTCCTATTAATTAATCAACTTTTACATTATTTCTTTCCTCCGCAAATGGAAAAAATATTATTGGTTTTTAACACAAGAAAATAAGTACTAGCAAGAGACATTATTTAATTCCTAAATCTACGAAGGGAAGCTTATAAATAATTTATAGAAAGATTCACTATTTTGTTGTTTAAAAGTAATTCTCGAAAAAATTATTTTGATAGAAACAATTCACAGAATAAGCAAATTTTCCTCTAAAGCTATCCCGTAATTATTTTTAAATACTACTTTGTCAATTTCAATTTATATGACAGAATTTGCATTGGCATGAAATTAAGAAAAGAATAAATTTATTTAAAATTTATAATTTAAATCTATTATGATATTTTTGTTGTTATAAAAAAATTGTCATTAAAGATGAAAAGTAAAATTTATTATCAATAGAAAAACGCAATTAAAAAAGTGAATCCTTAAACCTTTGACGCTCAGTAAAAATGCAGTACCCGCCACGTCGTCAGCTTCCTTAAATCTTTCAGTCTCTTTCACAACTAACATCTCTCCCCTGCTATCTATATCTTTATTAATTAAAGCGTTAACCTAACTCTTACTATTTCTCATTTTCTTCTCTTCAAATTCGAATTCTGATCATTTTACTACTAGTACTAAATGCGATTATCAATTTTCCGAATTAAAGAATTATAGAGTAGAGAAACAAACGAAATGGAAAACGGAAAAGTAGAGGACGGAGGAGTTTGCTCATCGGAAAGCGTTAACGGCGGCGAAGATATCTTCAGTTGCCAAAATTCCGATGCTGATCATCTTGTTATTATGGTCCACGGTATTCTCGGAAGGTGTGTTTTGTGTGTGTGAGTGTGTGTGTACGCGCGCGCTACAGTTTAAGTATATTATGTTATCATTTTCTATTCATTTTGCGGAATATTGAAGTTGAAGTAATTATCTGTTTATGAAATCGAAGTGTTAGAATTTAATTAGACGGGAAAAATTGGAGAATTTTCATCTTACTTTCTAGTTGTTAGTGATTTTTGAGATTCTTATAATTGGTCCCTGATATTTTAGGTTCTCTTAGTCCTGCGAATATTATAAGTAGTTCGTCCGGAAATGGAGGATATTTGTTTAGTTTTTGCTTATATTTGTTATTTTACACGTTCCTTTGTTTACTTGGAGTATCTGTGCTTCAACTGGCTTTTAATATAGGTGGATCCAGGATAGTGAACTTTATGGGTTCTGGATCCTACTCAAGAGCTAGTAACGGGGTTCTGAGTTACATTTTTAGTAGATTTATTAACTATAATACAAGGTTTGAGCTAAAGTTACTGTGTTACATCCGCCCCTCGCTTTCATTGCTTCATTATCTGGGACATCTTCAAAACTTATTTAGCTAATTGATTGACTAGGTAATATTCATCTATTCTACTTTTTGCCACCATACTGAATGTTTCTTCAGTAGGTAGATCACGAAATTTTCCACTTCTCCATGCCATAAACAAGCTGCTCTTAGACTGCATTCTGTGTTGAATAGTTTCTTTGGTTTGGGTATCTGCACTTGAAATGCGTAGTTGTTCCGCCATGGAATGATTTTCTATTGGAGTAATGATAATTCATTCTCTAGTTTTTTTTTTTTTTTTTTTTTTTTTTGGTGCAATCATTCTCTAGTTTTTACTTTAACTGAAAGCAGAGGTACTTATGGCTTGGTATTGTAATGGATGTATTTCAACAGCGCCACAGACTGGAAGTTTGGTGCTGAGCAGTTTGTTCGGATGCTTCCCCACAAAGTATTTGTTCATTGTAAGTTCATCTATTCGGAGTGCCATTTCTAATTTCAAATGCTTGTGTTTCTATATATTGCAATTCCTCTACCATTCCCTTGCACTTACCATTTCGCTGCTTTGGCAATAAATCTCAGGTATCCTTTTTGTTATTCTCTGCCTGTTACGTTGATAGATCTGATATGTGGTCGCACTGTGTGTCCTTAATATCATCTGTTCTGAGTGCTAATAAACCACGTATAAATGATAACAGAATAAAGGATTAAGTGTCATCCTGGAAGGAACTGCATTTTCTTATACATTCCCATTTGATTCTATTCCAGCAAATTTTCATTGAAAATTAGATTGTAGATTGAGGTTTTTTTGTTCTTAGTGATAGGTCAAATTTATTTATTCATCTGGAATCTTGCTCTTTGTTTGGTTATACAAAAATTGAAATGTTGTATATGCTACTTCATATAACCTTCAAGTAATCATTTGTTTGCCTAGGTGGAATTTATTTCTTGAACTTAGTTGTGAGTTATTAGCTTAAGTTGTTATCAACTAAACATTTTTGTTGTGTGCCTCTAATTTTGGCTTCTAATTCTTGAAACTTTTGTTCATGTTGAATTCGTGCAGTTGTCTGAACCATCTAGTATAAGTTATTAGAGAGGAAACACTTCTATTAATTTAGTTTAGGTCTACAACACATTGCCTCACGTGCGTAGTTTCATTGATAAGTGATAACACTCAACTTAAGGTAATAGTCAACTCTGAATGGAGTCCCCAGCTTCTTTGTCCCAATCTCTTAATTGAGATTTCTTACGTGAATAGATAGCTATAATGATTCAGAGCAGATTTTATTCTGGCATGTTACTCTGTAATTCTACGCTGTATTGTATCTTCTTCATTTTAGCCGAGTGCTAGTGAGCTACTTGCAAGATTGTATGGACATTTGTAGTATATATTGCTCAGTTGACACATGCATCCAATCTACGATAACTATTGGATATAAGTGCACAAAAAATGGAATACCAAAAGGAAGACTACTGAA